TATATCAATTTCAGGCCAAGTAAAAGCTACATCTGCTGCTATTGACCTAAGACGATGTAATTTAGGGCCTATACAGACTGCCAGAAATAATCCAGTGCAAACCCAAATGACAGAAGAAATAGTTCAGCTTGAGACCACTTTAACCGTCCTGGTTCTGTAGTTTTTTTTCTGAGACATTGAGCCTTCTCTGTCAGAGAGCTCTGGTGCCATAATAATTCCCATGATTCCTTAGCACTGAGCCAGGACAGTTAAAGTGGTCTCAAGCTGGACTATTTCTTCTGTCATTTGGGTAGACAGTGGATGTTGTTAATTAATTGTTGTAATTGTTTTCTGTTTTAATTGACTTTTATTGTTTTACCTATTGTTTGTATTAGATTGTATGCCTCTGGCAGGTTTTTATTCTATTTTATGTTGATTTTCTCTTTGTACAGCGCTGTGTATATTGACAGCACTTTAGAAATAAACTATAATAATAATAAATAATAATGGCAGTCTGTATGGGCCCTAGTGTTTCTTTCGTACAATGGAAAAAATCCAGTTGTCTGTATTCTGTGAGTCAGCAACTCAATAAAATATCTTTATTTGTTATTTTTTATACAATAGATTTTTATACAATATATGGTAACCTGCAGTTATGCAAATTGTTTGATTAATGCTTATTTATGAAAACTCCACCCCTTAGAATTTAGCCGGACATGTTATAGAGAATGTTATCTGAATATTAGAATCATCTATCCCAGACAGTTACTCAGTTGCATATTGGTTGGTTTTCTAGTTATAGATTAAAAACTTCCTCTCTACCATGAGAGCAAAACTGCTACACATAGCATAATAGATTTTAGAATTTGGAACTGATTCACAGTCCACTGAAGGGGCAGCTTGTATATGAATCTGTGAAGTAGTCCAGAAACTGGGGGGGGGGGGGGAATTGAAGCTGTAACTTAATGTTTTACAAGATGAGTTGTAGCGATTTTTTTAGACCTGCTTCCTGTACAATGATAATCTTCTTTCGTGCAAAACTCTATTTCATAAGAATCAAAATATTGTTTTTATGTGGTTATGTCATATTGATGTACAGTGGGTCTTTCTTACACACACACACACCTGCAAATGGCAAAAACTGCAGGACCTCAAGTTCCATGGTATTTAATGGTGGCGTGTGCAGCCACTCTCCTGGGGCCATGAGCATGTGCAGCCATTGAAATCAATGGGGCTTGCCATCCATGCATGTTCAAATCCACGGATGGCAAGCCCGTGGTTGGGGCAGATGTTTTTACAATACGAAATCAGGGGTTCTTAAGGGAGAATACTACTACTGTACTTAGTGATTTGTTAAAGCTACTGTTTTTCCCTCCCCATATAAGGTGCAGTTGCTGTATGAACTAACAGATATAATGAGCAAAGTCTGGAATAAGATTCAAAAGAAAGGTGTTTTGCATCATTCTCAAGCCCATACAGAATCTGCTTCAGGGCCTGCACCTCCTAGCTCCCCGATTAAAAGCAGTGTTGGGACAGCTCCACCAGATACCAGCACATGTAGTCCATCTGCTGACTTTGGGACAACTACAGAGGTAATTAAAAATTATATTCGCCTGTAATAGTGATCTGGAAAATAAAGGCTGGGCAAGTGACCAAATAGAAATCAAAAGGATAAAAGATGCTAGTTAACTAATACGGATAAAGATTGAACATGTGCTGTAACAAAAAACATGTAGTACATAAACATTTAATGAATCATGTTTGAAATTAAATATTGGAAAACGGAGAAGTAGCAATGCAAGGTTTAACATTATAGCTATCTTCGAACATGATGTCTGTGTTCAAGCATAATAATAAACATTGGCTTCCAGCTGCCCCTACCCTGTCTCTCATGGCTTTGAGGAGAAGATTAGAAGGTTTTGCTTCCATTTTGATTATTTCCTCTTTATTTATGTATAAACCATAAACCAGCTGTCCCCAATGTAATGCTCTCTAGATACATTGGATTAAATATTCCATACTGTCACATCTAGAATGTCTGTGTGTCTTGTAACACCTCTGTGTTTTCATTTGATTGCAAAATCCACCAACTACAGCCAAGTATTTGCTGTGATATAGGGGGTCCTGATCACCAAAAGAACATGCCCACAATGTCCAGGAATTTGTTGCATACTTCCCAGAGGCATGAAGAGGTTATTTTACATTTTGTGTAGCTAGTCCTCACAGTTTAACCCAGTTTGGCGTTCCAGGGAATGTGATTACCTGCTTTACTGGGAAAACTTCAGATATTACGTGCTTTCTCCTTTGATCTCACTATAAAGGGGTATAGGGGAGTGGATTTTCTCTTAGCTGCCTGTTCTTTTACTCTTCTCACAGCTTCTAAAATACAGAGATAGGTTACACCTATGCAAGATTATTTTGTTTGTCCAAAACTCCACTTGCTAACACTTTGGGCTTGAGATCGCAGCTTGATCTCATTCTAAAGTGCTTTATTCCAGCATAGAGAACTGAATTGGAGGCATAGTCTTTCTATCAGCTGAGGGACCTGACTGCTCTTCTCTGCTGTAAAACCCTTGCTGTATCCATTACTCATTGATACTGATTTTGTGTCAGTGGCAAGTGCCAGTTTTGGTATCAGACACATCTTTTGAGAGGTTTGGGTTTGAGCTCATTTCCAGCTCAGAATATTTACATAGTGTTAAAGGGAATTAAAGGCCACATGCTCAGCTCAGAAATGTCTTTTCAGTATCAGAACTGAATCTTCACACCTGCTTTTTCCTATAGGTTTTTTATTTGTTTCATATGCTAGAGAGAAAGAGAGACTTTTTAATGTAAAGTTGTAGACTTTTATGGGCGGCATCCATAGTTTTTTGTGTTTTTTCCAGGCTGTCTGGCCATGTTCTAGAAGAGTTTCTTTCTGACATTTCTCCAGCATCTGTGGCTGGCATCTTCAGAGGCTGGCATCTTCTCTGAAAAACCCACAAAAAACTATATAGACTTTTTAGTTGCTGCTGTTGTTTAATAGGTGGAATTCATAAACCTAGACCAATATATTGCAGAGAGCTGCCAGTAGATCTCAATCTACCTTTTGACAATCCCTGCCCTAGCAGACTTAAATGCCAATCCGTGTAGGGAATGTGTAGAGATAAATTTTGAAGATATGTTTGGGGGGGGGGGGGGGGGATGGACCCTTTTTTCATTAAAAAAAAAAAGAAAGAAATGAGATTTTGTTTTTTGAAAAATTGAAAAAAATGCAATATTAGAATCTATCTATATCATATGTAGCCTGCCTTTTCCCCAGCTTTTGGGTTCAATGCAGGTTACAAAAGTTACAACATATACAACTAAAAGTATACATCAGGGGCCAGCAACCTGCAGCCCGTGGGCCGGTTCCGGCCCAGGTCCCAGCACTTTCTGGACCAGGTGGACCCCTGCCGCCGCCGCACGCCACCACCACCACCACCGCCGCACATTTTGGTCGCCATGCAGCCTTTGTGCATGCACAGGAGTACTTGGCCCGGCGGAGGGGAGGACTTCGGGGGACCGACCCCCAGCTCAAAAAGGTTGCCTACCCCTGGTATACATCATACAAAAGTGAAAATATAAGTGATCTATCAATAGAATTAAAAGCATGCCAATTGAAAAAAATATTGCCACTACAGCATGGTGCAGTGGTTTGAGCACTGGATTATGACTCTGGAGATCAGGGTCCAATTCCCCACTTGGCAGTGGAAACCCACTGGATGACCTTGGGTGAGTTACACATTCTCAGCTCCAGAAAACCCAGTGGGTAGGGTCACCATACATTGGAAACAATTCAAAGGCACACAGCAACAGTAACTATTAAAAGTACTGTTTGTTCAGAAAATAATTACAAGTAGAATTTACTTTTGTAAATTATTGGAACACTCAGGGCCTAAATTTATTAAAGGCACCAAATCCTGTCTCCTTTGGAAGCTAAGAAGGGTCAGCCCTAGTTAGTACTTGGATGGGAGATGACCATTGAATACCAGGTTTTATAGACAGGCGTAGGCAACCTTTCCCCTTTAAGGGCCGAGGGACTTCAGCTCCCAGAAGCCTCAGCCATGTTGGCCAATAGTCCCATGTTGGCCAATAGCTCCTGGGATTCTGGGAGCTGAAGTCCCTCGGCCCTTAAAGGGGAAAGGTTGCCTACCCCTGTTTTATAGACCTTGAATCTGCCTTTGTTTTGGAAATGGTGGTCTCTCACCCAGATGTTCAACAGACAAATCTATACAGATTTTGAGATTATAGAATGCCAAATCTCCTTAATTCTAAGTAAAGCCTTTCTACTATTTTACTATGTCGGGCCATTCCTACAATCTGTCATCCAAATGTTGTTTCAGTGTTGAGATTCATCTGGAAGTGCTAAGCAAAAAATGGAGTGCATGATGAAATGGCTGACATAGGGCTTATTTGATCACCACAGATCTGCATGATAATTCCTGCTTTTCTAAATAACACAAAACATGAAGGCCACTTTTAAAATTGATTTAAAAGGGCAGATTTGTTTACAAAGGGGGAAAAAAGAAACTTATCCTTGTTTCTCTATTAAAGTCTTCTATTTTGTCATGTTAGAATATTTTTTTTAATTAATGGCTTAGGAAAGCCAAACACAAAATGAATGGATTCAAGATACTGTTGTGCTGATGTCTCACTTGATAACTTAATTTGATTAAGAATGTTTTTAATTAAGGAACGTTCACCAACATATTATGGGAGATAATTAGTTTTGCAATCTCTAGAGATTCCTTTCCCATAAGGGCTTTTAGGAGAATAAAAATCGTTGCGTGATGTAGACTCCTTACCCAAAAAGTAAGAGCAGTAAGTCCAGATCCAGAATCTGTCCTTCATTGTTGTTGTGTGCCTTTCTGACTTATAGTGACCCTAAGGTAACCCTATCATGGTGTTTTCTTGGCAAAATTTGTCCAGAGAAAGTATGCCTTTGCCTTTTTTTGAGGCTGAGAGGGTGTGACTTGCCCAAGTCACCCAGTGGGTTTCCATGGCTGAGCAGGGATTCGAACCCTGGTCTCTCAGTGGCCTAGTCCAATGCTCAAACCACTAGACCACACTGGCTCTCTCCTACATCTCAAAAATGTTTTAAGCATTACGAGAGCTAGACTGATGATACTACCTACCTTCAAGTAATTTGAGGAATCTTGATCACAACACCTCGCCCCTCCTGTCTTTTATGCTGTTATAATCTTTATAACACATAGCTGTGTTAGTCTGGAACAGTATGCAAAGGATATGCAAAGGCTCCTTTGAGACTAACTGAAGAGAGAAGTTTATAGCATAAACTTTTGCAGACTAAGGGCCTGTATAGACTGCCAGAAATAATCTGGCTTGAGACCACTTTAACTGTCCTGGCTCAATGCTAGGGAATCATGGGAACTGTAGTTTTTTCTGAGACATTGAGCCTTCTCTGTCAGAGAGCTCTGGTGTCACAATAAACTACAGTTCCCAGGATTCCCTAGCATTGAGCTAGGGCAGTTAAAGTGGTCTCAAACTGGATTATTTCTGGCAATCTATACAGGCCCTAAGTCTACTGATCTGATAAAGCAGACTCAGTCAACAAACGCTTGTGCTACAGACATCTTTGTCCCACTTAGTCTCAAAGGTGCTACAATATCCCTTTGCATACTAATATTTAGTTTGTGAATCAATTGATCTGTTAAAATATTTTACAAATACAAAGGCTGCCTTGAACCTACCCAGAGTTTCTTTCTGAATTATATGTTGAGTTATACGTTGATGTGACGTTGGATTTATTTGCATGTGTGGAAGATCTGGGACAGAGTATTGCTAGATTGGTCATTTTTCCCTTTTGAAGTAATTCTTTTCATTAAAACTTTATTCTAGGCTAAGCCTTGGGTTTAACTACTTACCGTACATGTACAATATTCAGTTCTAATGGAGAAAGTTACAGAGGGAGGCAGCAGAACAGCAGCAGTTATAGCTCAAAACGTTCTTGAAATTATTTTAAAAAGGAGTCCTTAAGACGCTAAGTTAAATTTACAGACCGTAAACCAAAATATCTCAATATAGTTTCTTGAAGATGATTGACTTTTTTTTTTACTCAGTATTGTAAACAGTAATAGTATAGGTAGGCTCATTAAGCTGAAGAATTTATTTCCTCAGGGTTTATAATATTTTAGTTATGTTACAATTACTGGAATTTGCTATGGTGTAACATTTCCTGGATATATTTAGATTACTGTTGTATCAAGGGACCACTTTGAAACCTGTTGCTATTTTGTTTATACATCCCTTACAATTCATGTTTAAAGCCTTGAACATTGTCAAATAAAAGCTGTACCTTATGTATGAGTGCTTTACCCCCTCTCAGACATTTCATGGTTAAAATGTACTACTACTTCTCTGCTGAGCCAGAATGATTATTTTGAAAGGCTTTCCAGGTCTTTCAAGTGTATTAGGTTTGCTGTAAATGAACTAGAGGTGGAGGGACGGTACGGTATGACCCACTCCAACCACTGTTTGTATTAAACAGCATATGAAGCATTTATTTATACTATCGGTAGATGATTTATACTTCTAAGCTGTGAGTAATTCTTCCCATGCTGACAGGTTGATAGTGAGTGCTGTGCTCTTGTGTGGGTAAAGCAATCAGGATTCTTGAATTTTGCAAACTGGGTGGTGGTGAGGATAGAAACATGAGTGAAAGGCTTAAGTACCAGGGCTTAGAAACAGTTAATCATTTTAACCACCCCTGCATTGGAGCAAAGGTAGTACAGACTACAACAGACTACTTGTTACCGTTTACTTAAGCACAAACAGTTAAGGAAGTGTTTAGTCCTTGGGGAAACTGAATGATTGAATAGAAACACAGAAGTTATTTTGATAAGGCAAAGCAGTAATTTACTCCAAACTCTGATCATCCCCGAGCTTTAATGCAGGCCAAGGATGAAGGCCTTATATGTTTAGGTCTTCCAGATGAATAAAGATAAATTTTCCCAAGAAAAATAAATGCTTCATTTTGGGTCAATTTGCAAGAATTGGCAAAATAATTAAATAGTGTATGTTAGGGTTTGGCATGAAGATGGTGGGAAAAGAGTTCCGTCTTTTAGATTCTGGCATTATTTCTATGGATTTAGCTGCACAGTAAAAAAAAAAAAGTGTAAATTTACTCAGCTATACATGCTAAAGGATTAGAAGTTGAAAATGAAGCATTATAAGAAACAGTTTTTGTCAGAGCCTAATGTTTTGATTGAAATGGTATATTTTAAAACATTAAATCTTTCTTTAAAAATGGTATATTTTAAAACATTAAATCTTTCTTTAAAAAAATAGGCACTCTAATAATGAAATTGTTACCCTTCCTAGCCCAAAATATATTGGGATTCTTTGGCACACATCTTGATAACTAGAATTCTTTGGCACACATCTTGAGACTCATTCTTATAATATTCTGGTAATTGCTTTTACCTTCAAGAATCTAAACTGAAACTGTTCATGTGAAGCAATCCTACAGTGAGGTTTTGTTATAAATTATAATCAAAACCCAATGGTGTGTAAAGAAAAAGCATTAAAACATAAAAAATAAACTCAATACAAATAAAAGTTAAAGTCAATTACAATATATATACAAGTTAGCTTACTCAATAAAATACAGTGGTCCCTCCATATCTGCGGACTTGCCTCCACAGATTTAAGCTTCCATAGATGGAAAGTCAGGGGGGGGCAGAGGAGGAGCAGAAATGAGTGGGAAGAAGAGGCCGAAGGAGGCAGGAAGAGAAAAGAAGAGTGGGAGGAGGAGGAAGAAAGAAGCTGTGGATGAGGAAGAGGAGGAGGAGGAAGAAGAGGGCAAAGGAGACAGGAGGAGGTGGGAGCAATGGTGTCTCTGGGGTGTGTGGATGATGTCCCAGAAGAGGGGGTAACTCCTAGTCAGCTCCCCAGCCCCTGCAGGCACTCCTTTGGCCCACGGGAGGGTTTCCAGTCCTCGGGAGGGGTCCTCCAGCCTGGGTGGGCAGTGTGTGGCCATTTCTGTGGTCCACATGGTGTGTTTTCCCAGTCCACGCAGTGCGCAATTCCTACTGGGTAGGAGGAGGAGGAAGAAGAAGGGGGAGGAAACAGCGGCGGAGATCCCTTTCAACCAGTCGCCCACTGACTCAGGTGAAAGCAAGGAGGGAGGGAGGATGCATCAGGTAAAGTCCCATTGTCCCATTGTCCCCAATGGTGGCGCCGCCATTGGGGACAATGGGATTTGAACATCCGCAGATTTTGGTATTGGGAGGGGGGTCCGGATTGGATCCTCGCTGATACTGAGGGCCCACTGTACTGCTAGTGGAAAGTAACTAAGATTGGGCTAACTGGCCCTTTTTGGGATACCAAAGTCTGATATAAGCCAGCCTCTAAGGGGTGGAGCAGATGAAGACAAAAAACTACATAGTGCAGCTGATAATCTCATTTCATTTTCTGGGAGTAGGTGCTCAAATGCATTTCAAAAATGTAGTAACGGAATTGCAGCAATGAAGCCTACATTATTATGAAAATCTAAATTGCACCCCCTCCCCCAAGATGAGCTAATTGTTTTTCTTTTTAAAACAAACAAACAAACATTAGAATTTTAAAAAACCTTAAGAATTTCACCCTCTATTGCTTTGCAATAACATTTACAAATTGAAGAATTAAGTGACTGTAAAGTGCTGGAAATTGTCACAGCCAGAGGATGATGAAGTATTGGAAAGCAATATATAAAATAGCTAAGCATGTGATTTATTATGATAAACCTTAAGAGGAGATTCAGGTAACACTGAAGAACAGACTGAAATACTGAAATTCAGCTATGTTTCATACATTCACAAAATATATATCATTGGCATTTCTATGTTGCGTAGTGTTATTTTCAGCAAAATGCCCTCCCAGAGAACATTTTCCTCCATTTTTCAGTGTACAATAGTTACTGTAGCACAAATGAGTTTAAAAAGGAGCATTCCAGCCAGTTGCTTTCTAGATTGTAACATTCACAAGTAACCTTTTGGGTGATCAAAGTACTGAGCAATGTAACTGATTCTTCTTAAAAAGTAACATTTTAAACTCTATTTTTGTAAAACTAGGACAGGTTCACATGGTCTGTTGAACTGGTAGTTGCTGAGCTTGTGTATTGATGTTTGCATGGTCCATGTATAACTAACTATTATTTTATTTTATATATGTACATTTGCTGTTTTATATATTAAACTCCAATAATATTTATTTAGTAGTATTTAATAGTAGCAGTTATTTTTGATATACTTTATTTAAGTAGGGTTTGGGTAAATCCTTGTGTTTGTTCTCCCTTTGGCAGGGTGAATCTCTACAAGGTGGTGATGATTCTCCATTCTCCGACTCTATTACCTTAGAACAAACAACAAGTAACATTGGCATATCAAGTGGACGTGTTAGTTTATGGATGCAGTGGATGTTGCCAAAACTCACTGTAAAGTTGTTTGCACCAGATCCAGAAAATAAAGGCACAGGTAATCCACAGTTTTAACAAAGCCAGTGGTTTGAATTTGCCAAGCAGTTTCCTTCCAACATAAGTTTTATGTATTAATTCCCTAGAATATATACACAGCATTTCCCACTTGTTTGTAATTTAAATGAAACAAATCACTGACTGGTAGTACCTGTAGTGCTTAAAATTTGTTTCACATCAAATTCCATGCAAAATGAACCTAAACCAGAAATTTTCTGAAATAAAAATAAAGATGAAATACATGTTTGTTGATAGGTCCCAGTGTGCATGACAATATTCAGAATATTTGAAGTGCAAACTTCTTGTTAGTTTGTTTGTTTTAAAAAGTAGCTGGCTTCATTTGGTTTCGGTAAATAATGCAACACAGTTTAAATACAGTACTCATACACATGTGAGTATGGAAGTCAAATTCATTAATGAAGCTTCAAGGCATATTGCAATCAAAATTATGAAGAAATATGGACACAGCCCTATTTGAGTATCAAAATAAATGGCCTAACAAGATAAAATCCCTAACATATTTCTTTCCACCATCACTCTGCTTGTGATTTACTTTTCTTAGTCAACACATCCTACCCTGCAGCACCTTAATAGCAGA